GGCTATTTTTTGGTTGCAGCCATCATTGTTGTTTGGCGGGCCCAGGCTGGATTCAAACCCGCCACCTTAGGTGTATGTGGCTAGTGCCTTAGCCACTTGAGCCACAGGCATCGAGCCTTTTTTTTTTTTTTTTAAAAGATGGGTTTCACTCTTGTGTAGGCTGGTCTCAAAACTGTGAGCTCAGGCAATCCACCTGCCTCAGCTCCCCAGAGTGCTGGGATTACAGGTGTGAGCCACCACACCCAGCCCAGCCTAACTTCTTTTATTTTATTATTATCCCCCCATCCCAAAACAGAGTCTTACTATGTCGCCCTCAGTAGAGGCTGTGGCATCATAGCTCACAGCAACCTCCAACTCTTGGGCTCAAGAGAGCCGCTTGCCTCAGATTATTTTTTTATTTTTGAGACAGAGCCTCAAGCTGTCACCCTGGGTAGAATGCTGTGGCATCACAGCTCACAGCAACCTCAAACTCCTGGGCTTAAGTGATTCTTTTGCCTCAGCCTCCCAAGTAGCTGGGACTACAGACGTCTGCCATAACGCCTGGCTATTTTTTGGTTGTAGTTGTCATTGTTGTTTGGCAGGCCCAGGCTGGATTCAAACCTGCCAGCTCCAGTGTATACGGCTGGTGCCCTAGCTGCTAAGCTATAGCGCTGAGCCTCAACTCAACTTCTTAAACTATATGGCTGCCCTCCATAGTAGAGAAAAGTATTTAGTCAGAGTAAGCAACACGAAACCAAACCCTGTGTTCCCTAAGCAAAAGGCTCACGTTCAAAAGTAGCTTGCAATTCACTAGAGGTACCCTAGCGAGTGCCCATAGCCTCCCTGTCCCCAAGTACTTCCCTACTAGACCCTCTAAGACTCGGTATCTGAAGTATCTGAAGCTCCCACCTGGACATCACGCATGAGCTGAGGCAGATGGAAGCGCCACTCCTTCATGAAGTTGGAGAGCTGCAGAATGAAGCCCACAGTGTGGTCTGCCTCCTCCAGGCAGGCCAGACTCTGCACTGTCCTCACTGCATTGAGGCACTGGGAAGACAGGGAACCGTAGGGAAGGATGAGGATGGCCCACGGACCTAACATACCCATGCCCACCTTCCTGTGGAGAAGAAAGGTCCTGGGCCCACAATCACTAAGATGGCAGCACAACAGGTGGCTTAGTGGGACAACCAAGTTTCTGTCTGAGCTGACCTAAGACTTCCTGTTAGCCAGCGAGCCAGAGTGCACCTCAGAAACAAGGGCATCAACATGCCTCCACTGCATGGCATACCCACCTGCCCTCTGAATGGCTTAGACCCCTTTTTACCCCAAAGCCCCCACTTTTGTGATGCTTGCAGGCCCTCACCTGTAGGGTCCGCTCCTGGTGTACACCCACAAAGTCTAGGGCCTCAGTCAGGAAGTTGTACCGCAGAGTTTTGAGCAGCTGCTCCATCAAGGACATAGATAGGCGGTAGACACCTGGCCAAGAGGGGGCATCCATGGACTTCCGAGAGGCACTAGGTGTCTAAAGACAAACAACAGATGAGCTCAAGACACAGAGCCATAGAAACCCAATCAATAGGAAAGGGCCTCCCTGCAGCACAGCAGCTAAGGCAACTGGCTACTGGGAGGAGAAAATCTACTAGAGTAGGCACAGCCTACAGCTGGCAATCAGTGAGATCAGAAAGGGGCGAAGGCCAACAGATGCAAGGAAAGAGCACGAGGCAGAAATTCAAGATCCTGGGTTCCAGACTCAGGTCTGCCGCTAACTAGCTGTGTGAACCTGGACATATCACTGCCCTCCTCTGGCCTTTACATGCTTCCTCTACAGGTTGGCTGGGCTAGATGACCAAATACTTAACAATTCTCACCAGAGTGAGAGGTTCAGGTTAATCTTTCAGGATTAGGAGATATCTGTTAAATTAGAAGCAAGGTACACAGAGGGCAGGGTTCTGAGACTCTGTCAAGCCTTGATACCACCACTTCCCTTATCCCAGCCCCATGGGACAGTGTGGTATCACAATGACACCCTGCCTTTCAGATGGAAAGAGAGGACAGTTGCCCTTGCTACAGGCCCAATCTCAGGATGTGTTCTCAGTATGGATTGGTTCTCCTTACAGCCATAGCAGGAAGAATCCATCCCATCTGCCAAAGGTGGTGCATAGATAGTAGGTGGCACCTTTTAGTGACAAGTTTCTCTTGCTAGAGATGAGGCTAGGGGTGAGGGAGGTTCCTAACCATCAGTACATTAAGCAAGCCATGAAGAGGAGGAGCAACCTCCAGGGCAAGGTCAGAAGGGCCCTGAAGGGCACTAAGGGTTGGCTAGGTTTGGCAGGGCTTCCTGGCAAACTCCTAGCACTCACCTGTACCGAGCCGTTGGTGCTGAGCTGATACACGCTCAGGAGGGGCAAACAAATGCTCTGGGTGATGCCAGCTCCAGCCACTGCCGTGGCTCCCTGGGAGGAAAGGACATGAAATGAAACAGAGCCTGTTCCTGCCCCACCACAACTAGAGCCTAACCCTGCAGCCCCCTGCCTAGGACAGACAGGGTTCTTGGGCCTGGCCATGGCTTCTGGGAGTCTTGGAGTCCACACAGCACAAGCAGGAGGCCCTCTCCCCCTGCCTTGCTGGCCTCCTACCTGCTGGGTGCGAGCCAGAGTGAGGAGCAAGTGCAGAGAAGCCTCAGTGAAGTGCAGGTTCTGCTTCATGCGAAGGCTCACCTCCAGGGTGGTGAGCAGGGTGGGCAGGATGGGGAGCCTGCGGGTCACCTGCAGCCATGAGTCACCATCCTCATCCACCTCACACAGCTCCTTGGCCAGGTGCAAGCCCAGGACACACACCTGCTGGAGTCCAGGGGAAGGAAGAGGAGGATGACAGCTAGCCACAAGTCTGGATGCCCAAGACCTGGTTGGCCATACACCTCCATGTGACCTTGACTGGGACGAACTGCCCTCTCTTCCCAACCTGCTCCTCTCTTAGATCTAGCTCTCAGGAATGACTCTAACTACCTTAACACACAGCCCCCTACCTCTGCCTCCTCCCTCCTCCTTCGCCCACATGGTTCGCCACCCTTGTCAGTGCCAACTCCTGTCCTCAATCTGGATGTTTCACCCATTTCTACCACTGGGAGTCTGAGGGACCTGATCACCTCTTGCTGTACTCCTCAGCTGCGTCCTAAATGGTCTTTCTTCAGCCTCTCTCTTTTGCCTGCCTCTACCAATCCATGCCATGTCCAAAAAGGCAGAGTCTCCAAGTCACTAATTAGGCTTGGAGACTGTCTCTCCTTGCACGT